TAACCTAACCTAACCTACCCTATTGATAAAGATATTTAAATAATGTTTTATATAACTTTCTCAATATTTTTATGTATTTTTCATTAGTTTTACCTTTGAATATTGTTTAAAAATGACTATATAAATATTTACATGCCTAGAAATGTATAAAAATTGGCATATTTATTAACTTTGAACCCCCATAACTTTTAATGGGGGTGTGGTCGCCACGAACTTTTTATGGTACAGTGGTGGGGGAGACCTCTTTCGATCCCCCATCATCTAGACCTTTACCAAAAGTAATATCTATTTCCTTTGTTTCAACCACCAAGAAAGCGTACAGTGATTGGTTAATGGGCCAGTCTTATGTTTATCGAACAATCATAGTTCTTTCTAAAGTAGACATTAAACTGCCAACTAAATTTACAGGATATATTTTAGGTTACACTTGTTAGTTTCAAAGGAAAGTGGAAGTAGAAGTAGATGACTACATGTTGAGCATTTGCTTAATATTGTAATATTAAATACCATTTAAGGCTATCATAAATTAACTTATACTTGTAAATCGATTAAATAGAATTTATTGGAATGTGAACTGTCAGTAATATACGAGGTGTGGCATTTAATTTCTGAGAATTTCGTTATAACTTCCCATCTAACAACACTTCGGGGTTCGAATTCATGTTGTTGCAAACAGTGAAACTTCTTTTAGTACTAGTAGAAGTTTGAAATCCTCCGCTAACCGAAAAGTGAAATCAAGGTATCCGTTATGATAAGAGGGGTTAAAGCACAACTGTGCCCCTATGACGACAGTTCTAAACTCCATAACTTCAAAAAGCTACAAAGGATGTTTCTAGGGATGGAAAAGGTGGTGACAACAATGCATAGGGTTAAAGAGTAACTATTGTGAAGCCCTACAATAAAGTACCTACTGTTATCATCACCATAAGGTCGTCAGTCTTAAGACTGGTTGGACATGCACCTCCACCCTTTCCTATCCTGAGCTAATCTTCGTATTTCCCTAAAACTAGAACAACCCACATCCCTAACTATTTGCGAACAGTAATCTCATCTAGGTCTACCTCTACCCCTCCTAACTCACTCCCGTTTCTGTCTCTAATATGTCTCTGAATAGACTTTCATGTCTGAGAAGGTGTATTCTTTCTAATATCTCTTCATTTCCAACCTACTCTATCCACGGTATCATCATCATTCGCCTGCAACACCACATTTCGAACTTTTCCGCCGAGCCCATCATTCATGTTTCGCACCCGTACAGCGCCGCGTTCCAAACATTTTTCGAATTTCTAAATTAACCGTTCGCGAGCATAGAAGTGACTTCTTTTTATTGAAGGCGACTCGACCCTGTGCTATCCTATATTATTATTATATCCCTACTACTCCTTCCGTCCTGACTTATCTTACTTCCTAGATACCAAAAATCAACCACTTTTTCTAATTTTTCTTCTCCTAGCTGTATGTTCGCTCTTTCCCTATTTTTTGCCCTTGCATTCCAGTATTTTTGTTTTACTTTTATTTATTTTCATACAGTACTGTTTTATAAGTACCGCTTCCATTTTACGAGGGTGGATTGATAAGTTTCCGGCCTGACCAAGAAAAACAAGGTTTTTAAAAATTTTTTTTTTTTATTTCTCAACATAATCTCCTCCAAGGCTGATACATTTCTCATAGCGGTGTTCCAGTCTATTAATGCCATCTCTATAGACTGATTCGTCAAGCTCCTCAAAATAACCATTTACAGCTTCGATTACTTCTTCATTGTCCGCAAATCTCTTACCGCCAAGCCATTTTTTGAGATTAGGGAACAGAAAATAGTCACTCGGGGCTAGGTCTGGAGAGTAAGGAGGGTGCGGCATCAATTCAAACTTTAGATCGTTGATTTTAGCCGTCGCAACGATTGACGTGTGCGCTGGTGCGTTATCGTGATGAAACAAGATTTTTTTCTTCGCCAGATGAGGTCGTTTAATTTTCACCTCGTGGCTCAAACGTTGCAATAAGTCTGCGTAGTATTGACCAGTGATAGTATTACCCTTTGCAAGGTAATCAATGTATATAATACCTCTTGCATCCCAAAAAACAGTAGCCATAACCTTGTTCGCCGAAAAAATTGTTTTTGCCTTCTTTGGAGTTGGTTCCCCTGGTCCAATCCACTGTTTAGACTGTTCTTTGGTTTCAGGAGTGTAGTGGTGGACCCACGTTTCGTCAACGGTTACGAATCGACGCAAAAATTCGCTTGGATTACGCTTATACAATGACAAATTTGCGGTAGAAATGTTTTTTCGAATCAATTTTTGGTCGACTGTTAGCAAACGCGGCACCCATCTTGCACAGAGCTTTTCCATATGCAAATGTTGGTGCAAAATATGTTGCACACGTTCATATGACATCTTACAGGTCTCAGCTATCTCACGCACTTTCAATCTGCGGTCTCCCAGCACTATTTGATGAATTTTTTCGATCATATCTGGAGTTGTGACCTCAACGGGGCGTCCTGAGCGAGGCCCATCAGAGGTGCTCACACGACCCTTTTTAAACTCGGAAACCCACTGCTTAACGGTTGAATATGACGGGGAGGATGTCCCCAGTGTTGAGTCCATCTCTTTTTTAATTTCCTTCGGCGTTAACCCCTTCAAATAAAAGTATTTGATGACAGCACGATTTTCCTGCTTTTCCATTTTTACGAAAACCACAGAGGCGTCTTGTTCAGCGTGCTGTCAAACCTACACTAGCAAGGAGATCGGGCTGAAACTATAGCTACAAGCTATCCAAGGATGGTACTATAGAATGTCACCTCAAGGTAGGCCTAGTGGCGTCATCTCTTGGTTAGGCCGGAAACTTATCAATCCACCCTCGTATTTAAAACTATCTCTAACTCATCCTTGCTAAATGCTAATACTGATATATCTTCTGCAAATATAAGTATACTAATCTCTTGGTCCTGTATATTTATTCCTACAATTGTACTGTCTTTAATGACATTGATCGCTGATCGCGTCTTCGAGGTATATATTAAAAAGCAGCGGTGATAGTGTACATCCCTGTCTGACTCCCTTCCTAATATTTACTTCTCCACGTTGCAGCTTGTAGCCCCAGCTCTACAGCTGCCTGTTGCTCTTTATACAAACTAAGTATAACTCTTCTGTCTATGTAACTCATGTCTACAATTTATTTAACAACTTATCCCATTTAACATTGTGGAAAGCCTTTTCTAAATTTACAAATCCTATGTAAACACTCTTTCCTTTTTGTATCGTTTTCTCTATTGTTACCCATAAAGCTAAAATGGACTCCCGCGTTCCTCTATTTCTTCTAAACCCAAATTGATCTTCCCGTAATAGTTCTCGAGCTAATTGTCTCACACCTATCCTATCCTCTCTTTTTAGGTATGTTTACTACCACGTTACGTTTATAATCCTCTGAGACTTTCCCCGTCTCGTAAATGTAACTAACTAGCTTAAACATACGATCACTAACCTCTTGTCCTGCATGTTTTGCAATTTCCGCCTGTAAGCCATCTATACCTGGTGCCTTATTATTCTTTAAGTTTTTAATGCTACATCGAACTCTTATCATCAAAATCTTGCCTACTTAGCAGGAATTAATTCACTTGTGTTTTATCTACAAATACTAGGAATTAAATGTCACACCTCGTATTAAAATTGCTTCCTCAAACTATTTAAAGTGTACTGACTTTCATAACTTCACATAATTGTGTAAATTAATTTTGTGAACATTTTTATAAAACTTGGCTAGCAAGATCAAATACCTACCAGGAATAACAAAAAAAAGTGTTACACTTTTTCATTGGTTGACATATAGCTCGTTTTAAATTGATTAGATGCCTACTGTTCTAAATAATTGTTTTCAATATTTTCCAGTGCTGCCGTAGACACGCTCACGCAACAAAATGTGGCGATAAAAAAGTTAAGTAGGCCATTCCAAAACGTCACGCACGCCAAGAGGGCGTACAGAGAATTCAAGCTCATGAAATTAGTTAATCATAAAAACGTAAGTATTACTTTTATTTTTTGCTCTTTGCTTAATTGTTTCTATTTTTAACAACAGTGAGCAGTCAAATTAAAAATTGTTTTAAAGACTTTCTTAAGGAATTAGTATTAAAAGAAACAAATTTTGCTTTGCACATGGAGTAAAAGCAGTGGCGGTCCATGAGTGCGTTACACAACTAGTGAACAAAAAAACAGTTACTTTTACTTTAAAGAAGATGCCTCTTTTTTCGGTTTGTTTATTTAATAATTAAGCATCAAAATAATAATTTAATCAAAGAACACTTTGTTGCAATTAGAAGTTCATGTTTCAACGTCTTGGGACAATAAGGGTTTGTTGCAAAGAAAATGTGCTCCTGACTGATGAGGTTTAGATCATTTCTTATCTGGTTAGTTACGAGGGTGGATTGATAAGTTTCCGGCCTAACCAAGAGATGACGCCACTAGGCCTACCTTGAGGTGACATTCTATAGTACCATTCTTGGATAGCTTGTAGCTATAGTTTCAGCCCGATCTCCTTGCTAGTGTAGGTTTGACAGCACGCTGAACAAGACGCCTCTGTGGTTTTCGTAAAAATGGAAAAGCAGGAAAATCGTGCTGTCATCAAATACTTTTATTTGAAGGGGTTAACGCCGAAGGAAATTAAAAAAGAGATGGACTCAACACTGGGGACATCCTCCCCGTCATATTCAACCGTTAAGCAGTGGGTTTCCGAGTTTAAAAAGGGTCGTGTGAGCACCTCTGATGGGCCTCGCTCAGGACGCCCCGTTGAGGTCACAACTCCAGATATGATCGAAAAAATTCATCAAATAGTGCTGGGAGACCGCAGATTGAAAGTGCGTGAGATAGCTGAGACCTGTAAGATGTCATATGAACGTGTGCAACATATTTTGCACCAACATTTGCATATGGAAAAGCTCTGTGCAAGATGGGTGCCGCGTTTGCTAACAGTCGACCAAAAATTGATTCGAAAAAACATTTCTACCGCAAATTTGTCATTGTATAAGCGTAATCCAAGCGAATTTTTGCGTCGATTCGTAACCGTTGACGAAACGTGGGTCCACCACTACACTCCTGAAACCAAAGAACAGTCTAAACAGTGGATTGGACCAGGGGAACCAACTCCAAAGAAGGCAAAAACAATTTTTTCGGCGAACAAGGTTATGGCTACTGTTTTTTGGGATGCAAGAGGTATTATATACATTGATTACCTTGCAAAGGGTAATACTATCACTGGTCAATACTACGCAGACTTATTGCAACGTTTGAGCCACGAGGTGAAAATTAAACGACCTCATCTGGCGAAGAAAAAAATCTTGTTTCATCACGATAACGCACCAGCGCACACGTCAATCGTTGCGACGGCTAAAATCAACGATCTAAAGTTTGAATTGATGCCGCACCCTCCTTACTCTCCAGACCTAGCCCCGAGTGACTATTTTCTGTTCCCTAATCTCAAAAAATGGCTTGGCGGTAAGAGATTTGCGGACAATGAAGAAGTAATCGAAGCTGTAAATGGTTATTTTGAGGAGCTTGACGAATCAGTCTATAGAGATGGCATTAATAGACTGGAACACCGCTATGAGAAATGTATCAGCCTTGGAGGAGATTATGTTGAGAAATAAAAAAAAAAATTTTTAAAAACCTTGTTCTTCTTGGTCAGGCCGGAAACTTATCAATCCACCCTCGTATATCAGTAACTGCTGACGGGTAGTAACTTTACTATGGTAGCTCCCCATAAATAAAAATTCAAAGGATTTAGATCAGAAAAATAGAAAATACTGCATCTTTAGCCATTGGCGAGGAGTTATCTTTTCTTGGATTTTCCTCTGCCTCTTGTTACACCAGTATCTCCTTTGATATTTCTCTAGTTAGTCTTTCGTGGCTTAGGGAGGTATAGTAAAGTTTTTCCACTGCCATCGGTGTGGTGCCGTCGATAATCAAAGTTTTAACTACCGTGTACATGCTTGTTCTGTTCTTTGTTCACACGGACATGCCTATATATACAGCTTTAACTTTTTTAGCATAGGGTCGTCAAATGGAAGTAGCAATCCACGGTCTTCAATTAAACGGGTTCTTCTACCCAGTATTCTTCAGTGTATCGGAACATGCTTGGTACCATTCTCCACTTCAGCCCATCTAAACCACATCCTATGCATGGGTTGGCTATCTTCATGGTATTAGTAGTGAGCACCCGGCCCTTTAATTTCCCCAAAGAATCCCATAACGAGCGTTACGTGGGTCTCTTCTTTGGTGACAAGGTAGTAGGCAAATCGGTTCCCATTCGGTTAAACTTTCTTTTGAACACCACAGCTATTCTGCGGTCTATATTCAAGGCTGCGGTGTCATAATGAAACAGGGAATTCTCTTTCGGGAGAGCAAATACGTCTTGGGGCCTTTCAAATGTAGCTCCAAATTTGGCTTTAAACAAGCTCGGTGTAGTCATGAATTCTTTATACAAGGTTTAGAGATCGAATTTTCATAATTCTAATCCTTGCATTTTCGAAACTGTCGCCAGTGTATGGAGTCAATTGGTTAAAATATACTTTTTTTGGCTTCTATTCGGTGCACATCCAATTCGGTAGATGACATCATTTATTCGCTTGACGATTTTGTGTGGACCTTTCCAGTGCTGTTGCAGCTTCGGTGATAGACTTCCCTGAAACTCTGTATTGTATAGCCACACCAGCTCTTCTTCTTGGAATCCTCCATTAGTGTTTCTTATGTCATAGGTGTCCTTCCATACGATCACTAGCTATTTACTTGTGGGAACGTACTTCTTCGTGGATGTCATCAAGTCAGTTTCGGAATTCACTAACGTAATCGTCTCCGGTAGCATCCTCACTAAGTTTACAACGACTTTAAATTGCATGGTAGTCTCAATTCCTGATCAAACAGTACTTTTACTGGTATCTGTTCAGTAGTTTGATTGATAAATGATCGACATTCCATAAGAAACAATGGCAGATAACGATCTTGGTCCGTGTGGTGTTTGGAGACCATCTTGGACAAGTACTTGTTAATGGTCCTAATAATTCGCACCATCATTCGATCGGATTAAGAATGCAGAAGTGTAGTCCGAGTTTCGTGAATTTCCAGTGTCTTATAAATGTCAAAAAGATGTTTAACGAATTCTTCCGTTATTGTGGTGGCTGTCTGCTTATGAAGAGCATACGCTTCCACCCATTTATTTATTTCCAACATCGGTTTCCGAAAACGACCCTGTGCCATCTACGGTAATTCTTTCAAATGGGCTGCCGACATTATAGTGACGCAGGGACTCTTTTGTGCATTTCTTACACCAGTCTTCATCGTCAATTTTACTGGTGACCCAGCGAAATTGCTCATGCACTCTTCCAAGAGTCTTGTGAACCCTAAAATGATCTCTCTAAGAATAGTGACGAAAGTACTGCAGGAATTCTTTCACCAAACTTCGCGGTATTTTTAGTTGATGTCTTCATTGAATAAATCTTGGTTTTCTACCACCCAGGCCGTTTTCTTCAACAATAAAATTCCATTGGACTCATAACGATTTCACGTATATAGATTTAGCAATCACTTCTTGTCACACCTATGTTCTTCCGTCATTTTTCCATTCTCGGAGCATTCTCAGGACCGAGTCTTGTTCCCTTGATGTTATTAGGGTGTCATTATTCATCCGTGATCCTTCTAACTTTCTCGTGCTTCTCGACATGCCTGAAGTGCTTGCAGTTTTTTGGGCAATGTCTTCGGTTCTATATCAAAATCGTATTCTTAGAGCTTTTCTATCCATTGTGCTACTTGATCCTTAGCAAATTTAGCAATCATTTTAAAGCAGCATGGTCAGTTCTTCCATACAAGTACTTGTAGAAATGATCCACGCTCTTTACTATTGCTAACAATTCTCACCTGGTTACACAGTTCCATTGAGACTTGGATAGAGTTCTACTGAAATTTCCCAGCTGTCAAAGGGTAACTTACTACAGGTGTGGAAGCGAAGAATTGCTTTAACTTCTTGAACGTAGTTTGGCAATCCGGTTCCCAACAAAAAGGTCTACTTCCTTCGGTAAATTGTGTAAGAGCCTTGGTAATATGTATTGGCAAATCCAGGAACGTATTGTCTATAATATGTACAAAGGCCAAGGAACCTTCGAAATTGATGTGCCTCGGTAGGTACTGGTCACTCTTACACTTCAGTCTTCTGCTAGTCGACTGAAACGCTGGTCCTTGAAACTACATGCCCTAGTTGACTTATTCTTGAAACAGCTTGCATTTCTTGGGGTTAGTTTTAGATTAACATCTGGAAACCTTTGGAATATCACTTTCAAATTTTTCATGTAGTCGCTAAAGTCTTTTCAGATTACAGTGATGTCGTCGATTTATAGCAAGCAAGTATTCCAATTTTGGCCTCTCAAAATCGTCTTCATGAGCCGTTCGAATGTAGCTGGCGCGTTGCGTAAATCGTAGATCATCACTTTAAATTGCCACAGTTTTGTTCCAATGCATAATGTCACATTCTCTTTTACTTCAGGATCTAAATAGACTTTCAAGATTTACCGTTGAGAATATTGTCCATCCGGCAAGTGTGTCCAAGGTACGGTCGATTCGATGCAAGGGGTAGCTTCCTTTCTTCGCCACATTGTTTAGCGTGTTGACACATCCTTCTTGTTGACCAAAACTACCGACAACATCCAAGGGCTGTTAGATGGTTCTATTACCCCATCTTTTTGCATATCGCTTATTTCTCGGTATCTTCCTTTTTGGCCAGTGATAGTATTCTTAGTCTCTGCCGGATAGGTTGCTCGTGTTTATTTTGTGAACAACGACATTGGTTCGCTCCTTACTGACATTTTCCATTTCGAATACAACTTGGTATTCTTCAATTAAAATCCAATAATTGTTATTACTCAGCTGGCTTGCATTGACGTTCTCGAACAAAGCTTCTGGAATCCGTTGAACTTTTCTTGTTTAGGAATTATAAATCCCTCAGTATAATTTCCATTCTCATTAGTCTTTTATCAGTAATTTCTTATTGTGAATTTTCTATATATATTTATATTACATATTACTAAAATTAAATGATAACATACAAGAGTTGTATCCACGAATTTTTGAGACTACAAACTTTTGCAATTATTTTCAATTAGAAATTTGGCATAATCACGATTGAAATGGAATAAATCAATTAATTTTATATAAAATGAATACATATTCTACTTTTATGTTCCAGATTATTGGGTTACTGAATGCATTCACTCCCCAAAAGTCTTTAGAAGAGTTCCAAGATGTGTATTTAGTAATGGAACTGATGGACGCTAACTTGTGTCAAGTAATTCAAATGGACTTGGATCACGAACGCATGAGTTATCTTCTCTATCAAATGCTATGTGGTATCAAACATCTACACTCCGCTGGAATAATTCATAGGGTATGTTACAAAAATTATTTGGGAGTAATATTTGTCTATGAATTTGTTTATAAAAAATTCGTATCTGTATTACTGTTTCCGTCCCACAAAACGCAAGAAAACCTTAAAATACATACAAAAAGTTCATGGTAATCCGTATTCTGTAAACCACGAGACGCCGATCGCGATTTTGATCCTATTAGATCTTATCAGTACCTACATCGTAAACAGTTTCGACAGAATACAGATTCACTTTGCCTGGTGCCTTAAGATAGGGATTTATGAATTACTACAAACATGGTGGTTAACTCCATCTGTAGCGTATTACTACCTTTAATGGAATTCAGAAATGTTTTATACGGTCCATATGTATATCGACTTGTTGAACTGAATTCACGACGTAATTAACCTTACGTGGTAGACACGTAACTAAACAGAACTAAAAGTTCATGGTAGTCAGTATTCTGTCTAAACCGTCAGCCTTAAGGCAGCAGATAGAGTGGGTAGAGTTTTTTCTGTCGAGACTGTTTACGACGCGCTATTTACATTTTTGGCGTTTACCGCGCTGTTTACAGCAATTCAAAACATATGATAGGTAGTTCTTACGTGACTGAAAGGAGAATATTGTAACGAAACACTTTTTTTCCTAATACGAAATAAGATTTTGCCGAATCTTGGGTTTGGATTTTCTTTTGTTTTTTAATAACTGTAAAAGAGTAACTGTTCAATACTGTGGCTGAAACTCTGATAAGCTTGTTGCGCCTTCTGACTCACATACCAGTTGAGGTTACGCATTCTCTATTATCCACAGTTAGTGATAAAAGTTTATTGATGAGTCGAAATATAGGTACTTGTAAGGTTCTTTTAAGTCTTGATATTTAAGTATCAGAAATTATCTGACTATTATTTATAAAAGATTAAAAAGTATTTCGTAAGTACTATATACTATAGATTTTAAGTGCTTAAATAAGTCCTGAACTATGCTACATATTTCCGTTTTCAGCCAATTCATTACTTATTTAGGATTATTAAAAAAATTTTGGGTCCTGGTTTTGTACTTTTTTAGTATTAATAATGAAATTGGGTAAATGGAGAGAATTTGTTCATTAATTGCAAGTAAAAAAATAAAGTCCACATTTTGATACAGTAAAGTAGAAAAATTTCTATCCAACTGTGAATTATAAGTTTTCGTAAGTAAATGTAATTACTCAAAGGCGCTCAAAAGAAAAATAATTATTGAGGAAAACTTAAAATTTACAGTTAAAGCGAAATATTCTTACTTAATTGCAAGCTCATCTTGGTTATCTGTTATAGAAAATAATTTCATAAACTTAATTATATTTCTTTAAAAACACATTATGATTTAAAATAACGGTAGAAAAATAAACAAATATTATGAATGTAAATTTAAATGACATTATGCAGATCTGAAAATCAAAAAACGTTACCAAAACGTTTTTAAGGTTATATCATCATTTTTAAAACAATTATATCATGATAATATAACAATATTACAAATACATACCACTTATTAATAATATTTTAGCTTCTCGTTTGACTTTTTTACTATTTTTATGATCAACCCAAAGTAAGCGTGTTATTGCATTCACCATTTTGTTATTTCAATTACATCGCTGTAATCAGTATCGACCCACCAAATAAGAGCATACAGTTTAGTACGGCCCATCGCGCAATAGTTTTTTTTCTGATAAATACTTCTTTAAAAATCAATCCTAAATTGCTGTATAAATTACGTAAGAAACCTCCAGAAATATAATACAAAAAAAGAAGGTATATGTTATGTTAACTGCTGGATGATTCCATTTATATACAATAATAATGTATTTTCATTATATTACTATAAAGTACTTGTCCAAGACATAAATCATCATTTCAATTGTTCATGGACCCGTTCTTAAAAAGTACATGATTTTAAATACATGTTAGTTCTTATGAAATACACGAAAAATAATTTAAAGGCTTAAAAAAGGATTATAATTGAAAGAAAAAAATTTAAGTATAAATAAGGACTTTGAAAGTAGCAAAAATTATCTGCCAGGACTCATATAAGACCTATTTTTCAACTCGGGATATCCAAAGAAACACCTAACCACAATGACAACTAGTCTCTTAATGTTTTAATCTCAGTTACAGGAATTAATATCACTTTTTATTTCCCATATTGTTATAAATAGTGAAGTTCTCAATAAGAACTTTTTGATTTTCCTATTCTGCTGGTTGATGCAGGACTCTGTTGACCTATAAACAGCTACAAACAATCATTCTAGCAAAAGTTTATTTAGGAAATGTCAAAATCGCAAATTTCTCTATTTTCTCTGGTATCAGATCACACTGTATCTCTAGAAACGAAATTTAATTCAGCTGTTTATATGATGTAGGAAAACAATATGGTGTTCGACTTTAAGAAAGATTATTAGTTACTGTTTGAATATGTAAATTGAAAGCTTCTAATTTTTTAGTAAATCAGCTGCTCAATACGTACAGATCATCGAATGTGAAAATTAATAGTTTCACTCGAAAGAAGGGAGAAACTTTATTTTGTAGTACCCATTTTTACCATCTTTTTCGTGTTAGTTAATTCAACTTGACAAAAGAAAATTCTGTCTACGTAAAGAAACAACATAAATCAGTTTTTGGTTACGGTGACTTTTTTTACGGCTTTATTCTTATGAGGCACGGTCAAACTTCAAGTAATTTTTTCTGCTCTCGATCACTTCTTGAGTTTCACTAGTCAAGCAACTTTTAGGGGGCGATGAGTATCTTATTTAAGAAGGGTGCAACTTTCAGGAGGGTTGGTTTAATAAAAAACACTTTCGGCGGCGTAAATCGATACATGAAGATAATCTTATTGACAGAGCGTCCCAATAAACATATCAGAGGGAAGCCAAACTTTGACAACGAATTTTGAATAGCACCTAATGGTTGATGGTTGAATCTTTTTCAGATTAGTTGACTAACCAACGGTACAACATTTATTTTCATTTGTCTTAAAACAAAATCTCGTAGTAAATAGAACAGTTTGATAAAAATATTCATAATTCCAAAATATTGAGGTGATTTGAATTGCCCTTCCACCTTATTGATTCTACTTGACACTATATCCTTGAACGTCCTGAGTTGTTTAAGTTTAATGGTCTATAAAAAAAACAAAAAGCATGGGCTATTTATTTGGGCGTTATCAATGCGAGACTGGTAGTGAGTGACTTACGAGTATTTCTTTCAGTTTATTTACTCGCCACAAATAAATGAGTATAATGTTGTCATTGGTCACTCTTCCAGTTATACCAAACTGTACTATACTATACTCTTTTTTTGTGGAAAACGCCGTGGGTTATTTTAGGATAACTTCATTAAAATATTTTGTCGTTAAACAGTTAACGATATGTTGCTTATTAGTTTGTAAAACTGTTTAACAAAAATGACAGTTGCATCAATTTGGAATGAAAGTCATTACGATAAAAATGAATTAAATAAGTACATTTGTTCATCGCTGATAGTATGCACCGCTATGTAAATTACACCTCAATATGTATTAAGAATACAAAAGAAAGAAAAAATGTAGATTACGTAACCATTGGTGGGCAAATGGGTATCATCAAAATAATCCTAATTTTATTAAGGCAAATTTCCACAACACCATCAAAGTATTGCGAGGCACGTTACTTTTTTTTGTGACTTATTGCTTACATATCGTGGAGTGGTGGGTTCAAGGTACAACACCACTAAACATTAACTATGTATACACATACGTGCACTACAAAATTTCGATATTAGAATCCCAAGCCAGAAGATAGACTTCGAGACGTTTACCGAAATTAATTATGAGTCGCCAAAAAACGTCCAGCATTTGGCGTATTTCATTTGCAGCAGTTATAACCCAGACATATAGTTCATTAGGGTTGTATATTGCGGTTTAGTACACTTACTGTTTCATACAATCCCATACAAAGAATGCAATCCACCGTTCAGGAAAATGCTGCCAAGAAACTGGTCTCGCAATGTATAGGGGCGTATCATCATGTGAAATAACATAACGTCATTAACATTTGCAAGGATGTACGACATGCGGATTTGCGCTACACCGATAGTGATTACTATGAAAATTCAAAATTCCGTCCCGCATGAAGCAACATTTGTCTGAGGTACTTTTCTTTCGAAGCCACTGACACAAATCTACTCGCAGCTGAAAATTAGCTTCAAGCAAGGCTTGCACTCGCAAATGATAAGATGATAAGAATGAAGCCATTGTTCTTTTGAGACACATTGGGACATGAGAGGAGCCAACGTTCCCTGCTGTTTGGCGTGTCCTATATTAGGGTTGTCTTCGGTGAAATCTAGGATTTCGTCCTCTACAACGGGGATATGGTTCAAACCCGTAAATAAGTAGTATGTCACATTATTCTAGCGACCACGAGCGTGATTGTGTGCGATCGGGCATACGTGTGTGTGAGCGGCTTATCGATTCGCCGACTAGCCGCGGGCGCTTTTCTTCATGTGCGCCGTATCTGTAAACGTGTGTTTCGTACCTGTGTTCCGGGAAAGCAATCAAACAGTTCAAAGAAAACGAGACTTTTCCGGGCGGCTTGAGAAAGTTCCCGAAAGGGACCAAAAGAGTATTTAAAGGAAGAGACGATAGCCGAAGAGTAGTAGAAATAAATTGACCGTTGCAGAAGTGAATCAAGAAATAAACTGACAGTGATAGAAGTGAAATAAATAGAACAGTGAATAGTAACAGAAGTGTAAATAAATAGAATAATTACCTAAGTTTAGTAATAATTTAATAATTAGTGTAAATAAATAGTTTTCTTCTTAAAAGTTAACTTGTTAAACCCACGAACATTACATTATTACAACAACAACTGTTCTGCAATGATATACTGAACTACTCTAATGATTTATGTATTGCTGAATTAGAGTTTATTAAACTGCACTTCAACTGACTAAATAATAGTTTTATGGGTTGGCTTAATCACATCTAATCTAATCTAACAACTAACTACGTGAACAACAAAATACAATAAGAAATACAACACTGATCCTCTATCTATCAGCTGATATTGAATACGGCGTTGCATTGTCGCATTTATTTCCAGGGCCAGAATTACATTTGCCTGTACTACGTTTTTCTTAAAAACGGTGAACTTTTGGACATACAAACGTTTACTTAATTTTTTGTTTTATAGCCCCTATCACCTCCTGCAAGCTCTACACTTATTTTTGTACCCCGAAACAAAGGATCTTCTCTTTAGTTGGTTATTACTTAGTATGGAGTAATTGGATATTTGAAATTTGACTGAAGCTTATTATGATAATAGGTAACAAATTTACGAGAAGGCGGATGACCCATTTTACGAATATTAATGTCCTAAAATTGCGATATGTAATTATAACTACATAGTTTCTTATTGGTCCCTCAATCCAAATTTTAAAAGATGATATAAAATTCGATGAAATATTTTTCTATAAGTAAATAACTTTCCGTGATAAAACCACAAGTAGTACATATGGCCATTTGATGAAACTTTTCCGATATAAGGTTTTCATTCCTTAAATTAATTATCCAAAGGACGGTGTTTCTTTTCTTTGCCTGTTTTAATTTTATCGACAAAGATTATTTATTTACAGGATTTAAAGCCGAGCAATATAGTTGTAAAGTCAGACTGCACGCTTAAAATCTTAGACTTTGGACTGGCTCGGACAGCGGGTACGACATTCATGATGACACCGTATGTTGTAACTCGATATTACAGAGCCCCGGAGGTTATTTTGGGTATGGGCTATACAGAAAACGTAGATATTTGGTCTGTGGGTTGTATTATGGGTGAGATGATAAGAGGTGGGGTTCTTTTCCCTGGAAGCGACCATATAGACCAGTGGAATAAAATTATAGGTAATTACACAAAAATTGAATAAATGATGCGTCCTATGTTTCTTATTTGATTAGAATTGAATCGATGAGTCTTTTACTGCTTGTAATAACTCTGTAATCAACAAACACAAAAGCAACACTTCTTAAAATGTTCAACTACTTTCTTATTCAATGTTAAACAATTAAACCTTGATTGTACAAATTTTAAAATCCTTTTTTGCTGATCGATCACTTAAATCGCTTTTTTCGTATTACTACTCAAATCTCGTCATCATCATCATATGGTCGTCAGTCCTAAGACTGGTTGGAACTTCCACTCTTTCCTATTCATAGCTAATCATCGCATTTCCTTAAAACTAGAACATCCCACATCCTTAAGTATTTGTAAACAGTATTCTAATCTCGTAATGATTTATAAGTTATTAGTGTTTTGAAAGCCGTAATGATTCATTCCAAAAATGAGAAACATGGCGCCTTACGAAAGGATTGTAGAATATAATATAAATTATCTAAATTAAAAACTAACTAAATTATTTTACTTTTTAAATATTTTAGAACAATTAGGTACTCCTTCCCCGCAATTTATGGCGAAATTACAACCGACTGTTAGAAATTATGTCGAAAACAGGCCAAAATATGCGGGTTTTCCATTCGAGAAGCTCTTTCCCGATTTACTGTTTCCTTCGGATAGTAGTGAACACAATCGACTAAAAGCAAGCCAGGCAAGAGACCTACTCTCCAAAATGCTCGTTATCGATCCACAAAATCGAATATCTGTGGATGATGCTCTCATACATCCATACATCAACGTATGGTACGACGAGGCAGAAGTGAACGCCGTAAGTCTCATAAAAATTTCGAAATCTTATTATTTTTTTTCTATAAGTACAAAGTTAATTTATTTTTTTTTTTATTTCGAAATTGTCTTTTTTGTTCCTATGAATGGTAGATGCGGAATGTTCTGTACCAATAAATATCGAACTAAGAGATCATGTTCGTTCAAAACAAACAATGTAATAATAATTTTCAGAATTATTGGATATATATATGTAATTGATTACCTGATTAATACCGTAACCATTACCACCCAGTTTTTAATTTTATTTTAAAGCCGGCACCAGGTCCTTACGACCATAGCGTCGATGAGCGGGAGCACACCGTTGATCAGTGGAAGGAACTGATCTACCAGGAAGTGATGGAATACGAAAACTCCCACGGAAACAATGGGAGACCGTCGTCAAGTTCGCAAGCTAGTCCTGCATCTAATTCTACTGAGCCCAATGGTACAGAATCATTACGGTAGAGCAGGTAAATGTTAAATTTAGGTACATTTGTCTTGACTGCACTTTAGTATTTGAGTCTTTCATGACGGAAACCTGCAATTAAATTCGTACTTTTTATCATAGGTAATGTATTGGAAAAGGATCTAACTCGTGCTAAAGCCTAACCCAACCTACGGTTAACGTTTAATTTCTTGCAGATAATAAATGTTATTTTTACTTACTTTAATGTTTACTTTTCAGGATTTAACAACAATACTTTCACTTCATTAAACCTAGTCGACAACCGTTGAAGTTGTACCAGAGCCATTTTAGTTATTTCCTATGTTTAGCGGCAACACGACGACGATATTATTGTGTTGTTAAAATACATACATAATATTTTAGCGAAGCAAACATTATTTTATAGATACGGGTTATTTTTTACGAACACGACGCGCGCGTATATAAATAATATATTATTATGTACGTATGTATGTACTCTGTACATCATCATCTCTCCTTTCGGTGTATGTGATAGAACGGACCGAGGGGTTTAGAACACTTGATATCGGTCGATAAGAAAAGTTAAGAAAAATTTTTGTAGCGCATAAATATGGAGAAGAAAAAGAACGAACGTGTATGTAATCGTCAACTGTGACTGCAAAAGATCCTCTTCGAAAATTTAGGATCCCAGGTTCCCATAAATCGTTTAACGGAGAAATTGTGTGTGGCGTCTAGTAATTTATTATCACCATTATTATAATTATTATTATATAATATGTAATAGTTAAATCATCGGTATGAGTTTTGTCCTATTTTCATTTTGCACAGGTTGTGTTTTTACAAGTTTACGATACTCAAAATAGTAAACAAATACAGTGTTAAAAATTAGCAGCTGGTGGTTGTCTGATTAAAGCGCTCATAATGGTTTTCAAATCCCAAAATCAAGAATGATTCCGAAATCAAAATAATGTTTCAGTACAGAAAATTTATTTCAAATCAATAACAAGATAAGAGTCTTTTGAAGATCGAGTATTTTTATTTAAATTTTAATAGTTATGGTATTTATAAAATCCCGGGATCACATTTTTTTGGTGTAAGTCCCGAGACAATCCCAGGACCAAATTTCGGTACTGGAAATTTTAATTTTTATGTTCTTTTTTTTTTCTTAGTGTTTATTACATACTAGGAAACACTATTTTGGTTCTTTCGTTGGAGAATTTCAAAATAGAAGTGTTTATTATGAGGTATGATACAAATAAAACATGAAAGTTTCACTCCTAAATCAAAAAATATATTATTATTATAACACTGAAAATATTATTTTATAACTTTCAAACCGTTGGTATTAGACACCTCGTTTTTTCCTAATATGTGCGTTGATTAGAAACAAGAACAATAAATACTAAGAAGCAATAGTTTTTAACACTGTAGAAGTCAACAGGTGTGCATTTTATACATTAGTGATATTAATATGAAAAATAAGTTGGCAAAACTGAAAAACTATGCGCGTTCGCACTGCTATTTTTAACAATACAAAGCATTTGAAAGACTGATAAAACTAGGAAACAATAATCGTGTTGTTCGTGGCAATCTTACCAACTATTATAGCAGGGATAAATGTGTTTTGAATATAGAGCACGTGAGGTACATATTAATGTGTAAGTAGAGTCGTTAAAAGATTTTTACGAAAACTAATGAATGAGGTCATTTCTGTTTAATTTCTATGGCAATCATTTATGCAAGTTGCACTCATAGAGATAATATAATACAGTAGGAAAAACATGTCCAAGGAAAGAGATGAAAAAGTGATGTTTGTTTAATGTGCATGTACATTGAAAGCTTTATACTAACACTTGGGATTGATCTATACAGCTATCAACCGTGCATGCTCAAAATAAAGAAATATAGAAAATGCATATTTTTCTGTTTCTTTCTGTTGGGGAAAAACATGGTCGGTAGACTTGCCTGCTTTATTGTATTATGCCTATGGTTGTACAACGCAATGAGCATGCGCAAAAAGAAAGAGCCTCGTTCATTTCTTCACCCTTTCAGCTCGATTGCGTGCTCTATTTATACATCTGTGCTGTTAAAATTAAATCTTTTTTATTACTTAAAAATTAATGTATGTATACTTATTTGTTTTTGTAATAAACAGAAAATGAAAAAGTTCCTATGTAAACTTTGTAATATTGTTTTGGTACATTTGATTAGTTGCTGCAATGTCCTACTTATATATAATGTTCACAATTTTCTGTTTATATTTCTTTTTTAGTTTTGCCAACTCTTTTTGTTGTTATGTTTACCGTGCACATCAACCCATTTTCGTTGCAATATATTAGTAAATAAAAAGGGAAAACTTTAAAAAGTGAAACCAAATAAAACAGCAATATTTGTTTGCTTTAAGGATTGTAGCAGGATATTGTGTACTTCTTATTTTCAGTGTACGTAAAATTATTCATTAGATTAGGATTAGATAAAAAAAAAAGTACTATCATAATAACAGTAATTAGTAATCTAAATTGTAAACGACATACCTGTAATTTGTAACGGTAAAACTCCATCCAAAAATGTAGCGAGTATGAGAGAAAAAAGGCAAATAGTACTAAACATTGTGTACAGATTTGATTCAACTTAAAGCTTTTTCTCTATGGAAATTGATTGTATATTTTGTATGTAACTGATTTAGTTATCCACGTAAACTGTAAAGTTCGTAAAGGCTATTGTTGGTTAGTATGTACGGTAAATTTTTCGTAGGTTAAATTGAGTTCTATAATTTTGCTCTAAGTTATCCTGCTGCGAATAATAATTGGACTCCATATAAGATCTCAATAAGAAACAGTTTTTGAGGAAAAAAATATCGACACTGAATTTTCGACAGTCATCTCTACCCCTCTACCCATTTGAAACTCGATTTAGTCTGAAGAAAATACGTCATAGTTACCTGGCAATAGCCTTGCAATTTCTTTACAGCTGTATTAATTTTTAAAGGAGACGTTTTGGATGTTCAAATTGAAATTACCAATGAATGATATTATGTTTGTTTTTCACCAGAAAAAGAAATTTTATGTAACATTTGTGGTTGTTAAAAAACAATTTTTGTCTATATTCATCGTCAATATTGAACTTCTTTTCTACAGATTAACAAAAATTGGTATATATATATATATTTTTTTTTTTGAAAGAATAAGATGCAATTATTACATTTCGTTTTAANATTTCCATGGAGAAGAGTAAATATTTTTGCCTTAAACAAAACACATCTTTTGCAAACAATAGGCTGTACTTTAGAAAATTGAGTATTTTAATAATTATGATAGTTAGGAAATATTGCTAAATTTGTGATCGTAATTTTAGTCAACTGCTATATATCAAAATTGCGTTTTACTGTTTTCTTTTTTATTTAACGTTATATCGTTCGTGTTTTTTTATAATTTATTAATTTATATTATACAGTACATAAGATTTGCATTTTATTTATTTTAATCGCAAATAGATTTCGTGCAATTTTTTTACGTGTTAGTTATATTATTGTATTGCCAATTCCGATTGTAAATAAATAAATATTAGATTTTCATGTTGTGAGAAAACAATTCGTTCCACTATTATCAGGTAGGACTTCAATATATTGAATTGGGTGAGTCGTTGGAGTAATTTTTATGACAAGTTGAACGTTTGTAGGAAATCACGTTTTGTAAAGTCTCCTTTATTCCATCGACTTGCTTTATGTATTTAGAATTTGTAGTGAGAAACGCTTGTATTTTCTTTGCTTTGTAAATAAACAAGTAAACATTAACCTTTCAGTTTTTAATTATATACAATACTACTAGTGCTTGCCCCTATCCCCGGCCATTTTGTATTGCTCCACTATGACGTAGTGTCGGCCATCATTCTTTTCTAATTGTTGCAGTTGTCGGCCATCATTCTTTTCTAATTGTTGTAGTTGTCGGCCATCATTCTTTTCTAATTGTTGCAGTTGTCGGCCATCATTCTTTCGTAATTGTTGCAGTTGTCGGCCATCGTTTTTTTCAATTGTTGTCGCATTATCAATGATGGCGGCCATTATGGTTTTTCAATAGATGTATAGTAAACAATGGTTAAAATTTAAAGGAATTGTTTGTAAATAGGTATACAACACATCGTACACTTCAGCATAAGAAATTGCTGACACTAACTTTCATTTACGTAATACTACTTTGCTCTGTACTGACAACACTTATAATTTTTTGTATATATATTTTAAACAAAAATTGACAATATTTAAATGAAACAAAATAATTTGTCAATATCAAACTGGAAATTCGCTTATTACTATTTTAAAGTTTTTGAGCAAAAGGAGTTACATAAATCCCATTTATGTAAAGGGAAATTATTCAATGAAATCCATGTTTTTCTCAAGCGTAAAGTTAGGCAAAAATTGATTATGTTTGGCTTTTAAGGCACTTAACAATGTTATCATAAATTTCTTTCAACATACTATTTCTGAGTTATAGAACCATTTGAATAAAATATATCCTAATTTAAGTGTAAATAATGATAAACACAAATGTTCATAATAATAAAAATTCACAAAATGAAATTGTTTTTTATTCAAAATGAATTAATGAATTATGTACATGTTTGTTGCTCTATTACTAGACACACTTAGTTTTATGTAAAATCAAGACAGTTTACTTATATTTATGATCCTCGGTTAACTTTTACAGCAGTTGTAAACTCAGTCATAGGACGGCCACTAATTCCGCAGGTTCCTATACCCACTCGCCCATTAACAGAGTCAGGAGAAGCAAAAATACTTTTATTTTTTATACCAACTTTTTTACTTTTACTTGCCTTATTTGTGAATGCCAGCCATTTATTCTTCTCAACTTCACGCTCTTCTTCTAATTCTTTAAAACGTTGCATCTTCTTAGCCTTCTTTTTCTTAAGGTATTCTTTGTTGTTCATCTTCGCGCGCTTTAGCTTTTCAGCTTCCGTTAACTGCCGTTTTTGGCCTGTGAATTCTTTTAATTCTGATAAAGTTGTAACACCACGATTTTTATAAGCTTCAAATGTTACATTTACCTGTCCATCAGGATTAATTGAATCTATGCGAGCCTCATAATATTGACCATTATCGCTCCATTTTGCCATACACAGATCACCTATTCTCCAGATCTTCTTGTTTTTGTTCTTAGCTACGAATTGTTCTACTGCTAACAAAGAGCGTGTAACTTCATCATCTTCATATAAATTATTGGTTACTTCATGGTATTCAGGCTGCTTTGCTGCTTCTTCAGCTTTATTTTTTAAGTCTAAGGTTAAATCTATTACTTCTTCTAAATCAACTTTCAGTTTCTGCAATTCCTTATTGTTTGGATCACTTAACAATGCAGCTTCAACCTGTTGCAACTGTAGTTTATAATTTTGTAGTTCGTCACCCATATTACACAGATATTACTAAAAATGTAACTCGCAAATTTGTTAAACTAGGTAAATATTTATAATTTTCAGCCGTTTACAACTTACACATGTTTATCGTCCTTGTCATAATCATGTACTTAACAGCCCCATAAATCAATTATTTCTTTGTTTTACTCCACTACCAATGGTTAGAAATGAAATATTACTATGTATAAGCTAGTGTCAAATGTATCACTGACGTAAATGTAATTCAGAGAAAATCGCCTAAAATAATTTTATGGCAGATTTTATTCTATTCTTAATTAACGAAGTAAACCTTTTTAGTTAAATTATCATTTAATGTACTAAATATCAAGTTTCTTGATTAGTCAAAACGTTTTTTTAAATCAGTAGAAAAGTGCTGCACTTATTTCGCATCAACACTGATAGAGGGCACAGATCGGTTATGGAGCATGGACAAACTCAAAATAAAAATGTTTTCACGCATTTTACTCAATTTTCCTTAAATTGGCTGTAAAACCTATTATTAACAATATTAGCAATAGTGCAATTACTAACTAATTTTTATAATTACTCGATACTAAATTATTTAATAATGTGTAAGGAATGTTTTCCAATGTGACATGACTGTTATCGCTATTATTTCAAACTTTATAAACATCTTCAACCTTTTAAAAGCTACAGATTTTATTTTATTCGGAAAATAAACCATCATTATTTTTATATATCAGGTGATAGCCAAACACTTCCGAAATGTCGAGATACACAAAATTGTGGATTAAGTAGTCCTCTTGAGATTGCATTCAACTATTCCAGCACTTCTGACACGACAGGATTGCTTTCCGGAAATGGGTTCAGTAGCGTTTGCGATTTAACTACAATCTCCTCTATCGTGTTAAATCTAAAATTTCAATTTGATTTTCATTTTTGAAAAGAGGAAAATGTTACAAGGAGCAGAATCTTGGTGGAGAATATCAAATAGACAGATCAATAAGGACTTCATATTGCTCTTGACTTGACGGGCATTTCTTGGTCGAGATATAGGTAGATAGGCTTTATTGGCATACATAAACCCAACTTTTATCAACTATGTTGTCCTCGGAAAGAAAGTCTAAATCAGTTCACTGTTCTTTCAGTTATGTCATTCTTTTAATAAAATCCGCTGGCCTGTGTCGTAGGATAATCCCACAACGTTGCAAATGATGTCGTGGACGGTCTACGTCCAATCCTTCACATTACGTTCCGAATGTCGGTTGATGATTGTCAGAAACGTTAATCGTCATCAACCAATATTAAGTCATTTTTAAAACATTTAAACGATTCTATTAAACAAGTTATTAATTTAAACCTAATAAATTTTGCAAATATCAAGCTAGGTATTACTTATAGATATTGCACAGTCGAAAATAAATTATACTTCGGAATCTGTGAATGTTTTTCACAATTTCAGAATTAGCAGGAATAAAGAAACGTATATCAAAGTTTTATCTAGACTGTGCAGTTTGGTTTGAGAAAATTGTGAATAGGTAATTCACAATACATTTTAATTGCATGATCAAGTCATTTTTTTGTAAAACTAAAATACTGATATGCCAGGGAAGAAAAAGTAGGGAAAGAGCGAATATAAAGATAGGAGACGAAAAATTAGAAGAAGTGGCTGATTTTAGATACCTAGGAAGTCAGATAAGTGAGGATGGAAGGAGTAGTAGGGATATAAAGCAGAGGATAGCGNAATGGGCATCCAATGATGCAATTGTATTGAATAAACTTAACATAGACAATAATTTAGATCAAAATATAATTAACTTTTCTAAAGAACAAGAATCCAAAACGTTAGGGATAGTTTGGAATTCTCAAACAGATAATTTTCAATATTCACTATGCAATCTTACAACACACAGTCAAATAACTAAAAGGACAATATTATCCACGATATGTCAGATTTATGACCCGTTAGGTTTATTAGCCCCTATAATTATAAAGTCTAAATTACTGATGCAGAAATTGTGGCAATGTAAAGTATCGTGGGACGAATCTTTACCGTTCGAATTGCATAGCGAATGGATAGAATGTCGAAATAAATTATTTTCATTAAAAACACTAGCTATTCCTAGACATATTATATGTAAAAATGCTAAATTAGTGGAGTTACATGGATTCTGCGACGCCTCGGAAAAGGCATACGGCGCCTGCATTTATGCAAGAAGCATGAACGATGCTGGACAATATCAGGTTTCGTTATTATGCTCTAAGTCGCGTGTAGCACCATTAAAAACGATTACACTTCCGAGGCTAGAATTATGTGGAGCAGTATTGTTAGCTCAATTATACCAAAAAACAGTACAAGCGTTAAAAATGTCATTTAATAAATGCATATTTTGGTGCGATTCAACAATCGTGTTAAGTTGGATAAACGCAGCCCCAAGTAAATGGAAGACCTTTGTTTGCAACCGAGTTTCAGAAATTCAAACTTTAACTCACATTCACAATTGGAGGCATATTAGGACAGATGAAAATCCCGCGGATTTAGTTTCACGCGGAATAGAAGCGTCTTCATTAAACGACACCCTATTATGGTGGCACGGACCTCATTGGTTATCAGAGGTTGAAGAGCGATGGCCAACACCCTGTAGTAATTTCAAAAATACAAATTTAGAAGAAAGGTTAGTCACTACTCTTTCCGTAGAAACGAGCAATTTAGAATGTCTATCTAAATTTTCATCATTAGTAAAATTACAGCGTGTTGTTGCATATTGTCTTCGCTTCGTTAACAATTTAAAGTTACCATATAATCAAAGATTAATGGGTCCGGTTTCACAAAATGAAATGAAAAAATCACTCATATTGTTATTAAAAATGTCTCAGAGAGCTAATTACGCAAGCGAAATACATAAGCTAAAACAAGGCAAACGATTAGATACAAAAAACTCCTTACTTTCATTGAACCCATTCTTAGATACTGATGGTATTTTACGTGTAGGAGGTCGGATTGAAAGGGCTGAATACTCGTTTGATAAAAAGCATCCGATTATTTTACACTCCTCCCATTTTCTTACAAAATTAATATTTAATTTCGAACATATTCGGTTGCTTCATTGTGGACCAAATCAATTACTTTCGTCCATTCGCGATAAATATTGGCCACTCTCTGGAAGAAATCTGGCACGTAAAATTACACACGACTGCGTAACTTGTTTCCGCGCGAAGCCAAAGTCAATCGCACATATCATGGGAAATCTTCCTAAAGAAAGAATTATCCCGTCACCACCATTTTTTAATTGCGGCGTCGATTACGCAGGTCCAATTTTTATAAAATCTAAAAAAGGTCGCGGCGCCCAACTCATAAAGGCGTACATATGCATTTTTGTTTGTTTTTCTACAAAGGCGGTACATTTAGACCTCACAACCAGTCTAACATCAGACGCATTTTTATCTATGCTAAGGCGCTTTATTTCAAGGAGGGGAAGGCCCTCTAATATTTATTCTGATAACGGAACATATTTCAGAGGTGCTCATAATGATCTGATTGAATTAAAACACATGCTTCAAAGTAAAAACAATCAAAGTAAGATTATCGATTTTGCTAATGATAATGGAATCAGTTGGCATTTCACTCCACCCACTTCACCTCACTTTGGAGGATTATGGGAAGCTGGAGTGAAGTCCATAAAGGGTCATTTAAAGCGAGTAACAAAAAATACTCATTTCGATTTCGAAGAGTTTTATACTCTCTTAACACAAATCGAATCAGTTCTCAATTCCCGTCCCTTAACTCCTTTATCGTGTGATCCCAATGATCTCGAACCCCTTACTCCTTCTCACTTCTTAATCGGAAGGAAACTAACAGCGCTTCCGGACGAGAATTTGTTGGAGGTTCCCGAAAACCGCCTCAGTAAATTTCAACACATTCAACGGATACTCCAACACTTTTGGAAACGCTGGAGCAAGGAGTATGTAAGCGAAATGCAGGTTCGGACCAAATGGAAGAAAAACATTATCAACGTCCTGAAGATTGGAACCGTGGTGTTAGTGCGTGAGGACAATACCCCCCCGTGTCAGTGGCGTATAGGTCGTGTGACCAAATTGCACCCTGGTGACGATAACGTCGTACGAGTAGTGTCTATTAGAACATCCAACGGTGCTATATTAAAGCGATCAGTCACTAAATTATGTGCCCTACCTTTTAGTGACAATCTTAGTGTTAATGGATAAAAGGTTTTGAAAGCAACGCTTTCAACGCGGCCGGCATGTTTCGGCGCAAAAGACTATTGCCGATATTTGTAAATATTTTAAACTTATAATCATAACATTTATTTGATCAAGCAGTAGGCATTACATTATTATAGGCTATTAGTCGTAAGTTGGTCCTAAGAAAAACCCCATAATCTGTATATATTTCTTACCCCCATTGTAAATAGTTTTATTACCTCTTTTGTACCTCTCATTCCTGTATACCTACCTATTAGTCATTTGGAATTTTCAATCACTATTCAATATTATAAATACCTAGTTTGTAGTTCTATTGAATTTCTTAGGACCAGGCATAATTTGTTTGTGTGTGTGTGTTAGTACACACAATTCTGGTTGTTGCCCCTTCCATCAGAAGGGTAACATAAATACTAAAATTTGTCAAAAAAATAAGTAGTCGTAGTCGAAGTCGAAGTCGAAGATTCGATTCGTTCTAAAACATTTCAACTAAAAACTCCACTTTGAGTTTCCAGAGTCTAAGGTAGACTCAGCTGAGAACAATTCTCATAATCAGTTGTTACTTATGTAAAAGTGTAAATAAATGTACATATACATTTTACAGTTCCGTGTCTTATTTATACGGTGGTCCTTCGATCAGGTATTTATATATGTGGTACAGCAGTACACCCGTTGAGAAAAGATATATTGTTTTAATCGAACCTCAACAAAAAACAGGTCAAGTTGGATAGCTACGCATTTGCGTTTTTTGTTTGTTTTACTTTATTGTGGCGTTTTGACGTTTAAAATGTTTCATATAAAGAAATGTGGCAATATTCTCTATTATTGTACGTAGCATACCGTATATTCAATAAGTCAAATGTTAAACATGCACAATTTAATTCATTTCACAGATGATGTGTGTAGTTCATGTTAATTCTATTGATAATTCTTTTTAAAAAATTAGTAAAATCACCGAAATAACCGCTCAAAGAATAGCCAACA